AACTAATCTAACACAGTTAGGATAGCTTCATATATATTAGGATATTTAATATTAAGGTAAATAAATGGCGGCGAAAGTGTGGCTATTGGGGAGGCTGGAGGCCACATCTAAAAACAAAAACAAAAAAGTAGTAGTAGTAGTGTGCGTGATAATAAACAATCTGAAACAAAATTTGTATTCAATATGTAAAAAAACCCTGATATTTTCAAACCAAGAAATGTTGCAGTGGCTGAGTGGCGCATAACACCCATCTCTCATCCTTAGCATTGAGCCCAGAGCAAACCTCATCCACAACTCACCCAGATATAAAAACAAGCACCAACTATGCAGTTAAGGTAAAAACAAAACAAAAAACAGGGACTCGAGAGCAATGCCAACTCAACCTGATTCTACTGTACTGAATATTCATCTGTCCGCCATTATTACTGATTTATTCGCCCTCTTATTGGTTTATTTCAGAGAAAATTTTATACACGATAAGTTATAAAAAAATTTCAGAGAGAATCTTTACGGGCGGTCTGTAATGGTGTTCCCAGGCAGATGACGTGATTAAAGGAACTAATGGCGTAAATAAATTCGCAATCCACGAATGGAAGGGAAGGGAATCGAGGCGTCAATAACTAAGGCTGTGATATTACTTTCAATTCCAGGTAGAGAGAGAGAGAGAGAGAGAGAGAGAGAGAGTTTTTCAGTGTGCGTTATTATCTTCTTTTTCGTTCTTCCTTCCTCCTACCCCCAACAGCAGTAAAACGTCAAGCCAAATGTCACCTCAGCAGTAACATACACCCAACTGGTTCTGCTTTGGTTTACACGGCCATAAACATACACGTATTGACTTTGACATCCGACACATTCTCAAACGGCGAGGAAGACTTTGCCGAGAGTTTTAGAGTGTGTGAGTGCGTTTGTGAGTGTGTAGGTTTGTGTGAGGTGTTTTGTGTGAGTGTGTTTGTGTTTGTGTGAAAGGTTTGTGAGTGTGTTTGTGTGCGGGGGAGGGTGCCACTACCACTCTGTTACCGCTCCCTTCCTTCATCTCCTCCCTCCTCCCTCCCTCCCTCCTTTCCTTCTCCTCCCCTAATACTATTTAATGATCACTTTTAAATCTATGTTAATAGGAACTTGAAAAAAAAATATATATATATAGAGAAGTAAATTAGTCGTTTGGAGTTAATTTTATAATACCTTGAGAGAGAGAGAGAGAGAGAGAGAGAGAGAGAGAGAGAGAGAGAGAGAGAGAGATATTTAAAGCTAACTGAACAAGCTAAGATATTAAAATTCTCTCAGAGTTTTCGAATCAAAGAGCATTTTTTGCTAGGTTGGAGACACAAAATAATGGATCGATGAATGTAGGGGAGGAGAGAGAGAGAGTAGGGAGGAGAGAGAGAGTAAAGGGAGAGAGAGAGAGGGAGGAGGAGAGTAGGGAGGAAGGGAGGTAGGGAGAGAGGGTATAGGGGAGGAGAGAGTAGGGAGGAGGGAGAGTAGGGAGAGAGAGAGGGAGGAGAGAGAGGAGGGAGGAGAGAGTAGGGAGGAGGGAGATAGGGGAGGAGAGAGTAGGGAGGAGAGAGAGGAGTAGGGGAGGAGGGAGTAGGGAGGGAGTAGGGAGAGAGAGTAGGGAGGAGGAGAGAGGGGAGGAGAGAGAGTAGGGGGAGGAGAGAGAGAGTAGGGGAGGAGAGAGAGAGAAAGGGGAGGAGAGAGAGAGTAGGGGAGGAGAGAGAGTAGGGAGGAGAGAGAGAGAGTAGGGAGGAGAGAGAGTAGGGAGGAGAGAGAGAGTGGGGAGGAGAGAGTAGGGAGGAGAGAGAGAGTAGGGAGGAGAGAGAGTAGGAGGAGAGAGTAGGGGAGGAGAGAGAGTGGGGAGGAGAGAGAGGGAGGAGAGAGTAGGGGAGGAGAGGAGGCAGGGGAGGAGAGGAGAGTAAGGGAGGAGAGAGAGAGGGGAGGAGAGAGAGAGGAGGGGAGGAGAGAGAGAGGGAGAGAGAGAGTAGAGGGAGGAGAGGGAGGGAGAGGGGGAGGAGAGAGTAGGGGAGGAGAGAGAGAGTAGGGGAGGAGAGAGAGTAGGGAGGAGAGAGAGAGTAGGGAGGAGGGAGAGTAGGGGAGAGAGGAGAGTAAGGGAGGAGAGAGAGTAGGGGAGGGAGGAGAGAGTAGGGGAGGAGAGAGTAGGGGAGAGAGAGAGAGAGAGAGGGGAGGAGAGAGAGAGAGAGTAGGGGAGGAGAGAGAGGGAGGGGAGGAGAGAGAGAGTAGGGGAGGAGAGAGAGAGAGTAGGGGAGGAGAGGGAGAGAGGGGAGGAGAGAGGAGGGGAGGAGAGAGGAGGGGAGGAGAGGGAGAGTAGGGGAGGAGAGGGAGAGTAGGGGAGGAGAGAGAGAGTAGGGGAGGAGAGAGAGAGTATAGGGGAGGAGAGAGAGAGAGAGTAGGGAGGAGAGGGGAGGAGGGAGGAGAGGAAGTAAGGGAGGAGAAGGGGAGGAGAGAGAGAGTAGGGAGGAGAGAGTAGGGGAGGAGAGAGAGGTAGGGGAGGGAGAGAGAGGGAGGAGGGAGGAGGAGAGAGTAGGGGAGGGAGAGAGAGAGGAGGGGAGAGAGAGAGTAGGGAGGAGAGAGGGAGTAGGGAGGGAGAGAGAGGAGGGAGGAGAGAGAGAGGGGAGGGAGAGAGAGTAGGGAGGGAGAGAGGAGGGAGGAGAGAGAGAGAGGAGGGGAGGAGAGAGAGAGTAGGGAGGAGAGGGGAGGAGGGAGAGAGAGAGTAGGGGAGGAGAGAGAGAGAGGGGGGAGGAGAGAGAGAGTAGGGGAGGAGAGAGAGGGAGGAGAGAGAGAGTAGGGAGGGAGGAGAGAGAGTAGGGGAGGAGAGAGGAGTAGGGGAGGAGAGAGAGAGAGGAGGGGAGGAGAGAGAGAGAGTAGGGAGGAGAGGAGAGGGAGGAGAGAGGTAGGGAGGAGAGAGAGTAGGGGAGGAGAGAGAGAGGGAGGAAGGGAGGAGAGAGAGAGGAGGGGAGGAGAGAGGAGGGAGGAGAGAGAGAGGAGGGGAGGAGAGAGTAGGGGAGGAGAGAGAGAGTAGGGGAGGGAGAGGAGGGAGGAGAGAGAGTAGGGAGGAGAGAGAGTAGGGAGGAGAGAGAGAGTAGGGAGGAGAGAGAGAGGAGGGGAGGAGAGAGAGTAGGGAGGGAGAGAGAGAGAGAGAGTAGGGGAGGAGAGGGAGAGAGAGTAGGGGAGGGAGAGAGAGAGAGTAGGGGAGGGAGGGAGAGAGTAGGGAGGGAGAGAGAGAGAGTAGGGGGAGGAGAGAGTAGGGGAGGAGAGAGAGAGAGAGTAGGGGAGGAGAGAGAGTAGGGGGAGGAGAGTAGGGGAGGAGAGAGAGGAGGGAGGAGAGGGAGAGGGGAGGGAGAGAGAGAGAGGGAGGGAGAGAGAGTAGGGGAGAGAGAGAGGGAGGAGGAGAGAGAGTAGGGAGGAGAGAGAGAGTAGGGAGGAGAGAGAGAGGGGAGGAGAGAGAGAGTAGGGAGGAGAGAGAGAGTAGGGAGGGAGGAGGAGTAGGGGAGGAGAGAGAGAGAGGGGAGGAGAGAGAGAGTAGGGAGGGAGAGTAGGGAGGAGAGAGTAGGGGAGGAGAGGGAGTAGGGAGGAGAGAGAGAGTAGGGAGGAGAGAGGAGTAGGGGGAGAGAGAGTAGGGAGAGAGAGGAGGGGAGGAGAGAGGGAGAGGGGAGGAGAGAGAGAGTAGGGGAGGAGAGAGTAGGGGGAGGAGAGAGAGTGGGGGAGGAGAGAGAGGAGGGGAGGGAGGAGAGAGAGTAGGGAGGAGAGAGAGAGTAGGGAGGGAGAGAGAGTAGGGAGGAGAGAGAGAGAGTAGGGAGGGAGAGAGTAGGGGAGGAGAGAGTAGGGGGAGGAGAGGGAGGGAGTAAGGGAGGAGAGAGAGTAGGGGAGGAGGAGAGAGAGTGAGGGAGGGAGAGAGAGAGAGTAGGGGAGGAGAGAGAGAGAGTAGGGAGGAGAGAGAGTAGGGGGAGGAGAGAGAGAGTAGGGAGGAGGAGAGAGAGAGTAGGGGAGGAGAGAGAGTAGGGGAGGAGAGAGAGAGTGAGGGGAGGAGGAGAGAGAGAGTAGGGGAGGAGAGAGTAGGGGAGGGAGAGAGAGAGGAGGGAGGAGAGAGTAGGGGAGGAGAGAGAGTAGGGGGGAGAGAGAGTAGGGGAGGAGAGAGAGTAGGGAGGAGAGAGAGGGAGGAGAGAGGGAAGAGGGAGGAGAGAGAGAGAGAGTAGGGGAGGAGAGAGAGAGAGGGAGGAGAGAGAGTAGGGAGGAGAGAGAGAGTAGGGAGGAGAGAGAGTAGGGAGGGAGAGAGAGAGTAGGGAGGAGAGAGAGTAGGGAGGAGAGAGAGAGTAGGGGAGGGAGAGAGAGAGGGGAGGAGAGAGAGTAGGGAGGAGAGAGAGTAGGGGAGGGAGAGAGAGAGTAGGGGGAGGAGAGTAGGGAGGAGAGAGAGTAGGGGAGGAGAGAGAGAGAGGGAGGAGAGAGAGTAGGGAGGAGAGAGAG